CCCAGTTCCCCCCCAACCCCCCCAATCAGGGCCGGCTCTGGCTTTTTTGCCGCCCCAAGCACAAGCTTGGTGGGCTGGTGCCTGGAGCCGGCCCTGCTCCCAATTGACCTGGACTGTGGGTTCTTCCAGAGGGGAAGGTCTCTGGGCTGTTCCCCAACCCACATGGTGAATCTCTGAGGCAAGAAAATCTGCCAATAAGCGCAGGACCCACCAAGATAGAGGAGGAACTTTGTCACACTAGTTACTCTGTTCCTAAGCAATAGCAATGACTGTATTTCTGAGGTGGGTGAAGTTGGCTCTTATGTTTTATTAAATGATTTGGGAACTTTTGGAATGAAAAGAGCTATGTGAGATTCTATTGTTGTTACTTAACTTATTACTCTGCTGAGTTTCAAAAAGGAAGTGGTGGCTTTGTTTGTTTTTGCTTTTAGGTTGAATCCAAATGTGAAATATGGCTCTGGCTTTACAGGAGTGCCAAAAATTTGGCATTCAAAGTACTGTAAAACTGCCACAGTTTTACAGTGTAGTGGATTAGGACAATTGCAAAAAATTCAAATTGTCTGCAGCATTTTCTTTTTCTTAGAAGCATTCCATTGTGGGACAGTGTGAAACGGTGGCGATATAATTGGCTTTTAATATGCTGAATGGGAATTTGAAATAAAGGTAATCAGGGGGGCAAACTGGACAAGAAAAGTAGTGGTACTCTTCCAAGTTATTGCTTACAACCCAAGTACCATCAACCGGAGGCACTAAAATGAGATGCACCACTTACACTAGATAGCTTTCATAGTCTGATCATTTTTCTTATTCCTTGCATACTCTGCATGCAGTGATATCAGGTTATCTTTATCTGTGTCCATTCTTGCATGCTTTGATTAGCACTGTGATAGTTAACAACGTTCATGTTTAGGTTGCAGCTCTATTGTTTTAGTCTGTCTACAAATTCAGGCAGACATCAATGTATCAGTGCACAGTTTATGGTTGCAAAGAGAATCTTCAAAGTGGGAGAAAACTACTTTTTTTTTTTAAATGAAAGCTTCGATTTTTTTTGGACACAAGATTGCATCCTCCAAAACAGTAGCAGCATGCCGAGCTGTGCTGAGCTGGCCCACTTCACCCCTGTTTGTCATATCTGAATGGATATAATCAAGGATATAATCAAGTTCACCAACAATTTGAGTAGGATGCAGCTCACAAACAGACCCATTTAACACTCAACAGCATTACATACAAATTCATAGTTCAGTGTTTTGAGGGAGAGATGTGAACATATTTTTTATTTTCTATGAATGATATCTGTTCTTTCTCCTCTTTATTTTATGTACGAATTCAAAACCACATTTTTAACACAAGAAACAGCTTGAAACATGGAGATAAATACAATGCCAGTTTCTTAGACATCTCAATGTAGTGAAGAGAGAGACAGAGAGAAACCAATTCTACACTACTGACTACATACAGTAGTATATTACTTGGAAATTATTCATTTACTTCTGCTGGGAATATTATTTGAAAGCCAAGAGCACTTACCTGGTTAATAAGGCTGTTTACCATGTAACCCGTGTGCCTTAATGTGCAAGTATGAATCATTTATAAAAACTTTAAAAATATTTCACAGTGGTAAAGATCAGCAGTATGGTTTAAGTGTTCAGATCAGAGTTAAATTGTATTGGAGAGAATTATATAAAAATGATAAATAACATTTGCTTCAAGAGAATTTCGTATATCATCAATCTCTCTATAAATTCAGACTGGAATTTCAAATTCAGACTAGACATAAGGCACACATTTTTAACTCTGAGGGTAATTATCCATTGGAAAAATTTACCAAGGTTGGGGAGTCTCCATCATTAGCAATTTTAAAATCAAGTTTGGATGTTTTAGTAAAAGATCTGCTCTAGGAATTATTTGGGGGAAGTTCTGTGGCCTGTGTTATACAGGAGGTCAGACTAGATGAGCCCAGTGGTTCCTTCTAGACTTGGAATCTACGAACCTTTTAATGAAGTACATATAGATATGTTATTTTGTAAATGGTCTCTTTTTGTTCAGTTCATGTTGTTGTACATCTTTATAACTTCCAGGATATGTTTTGTCATCTAGTAGGTTATATTATGCAACCAATACATTATTTATTCCTTTGGACTGAATGTAGTCCCTATAAAAAGAGCCCGATTGTCAGACCTGGAAACTGAAGTCCTATATCCACAGAACATGTACAGCAAGGGCAATAGTAGTGGATGCTTCTCCTCACTGCCCTACCAATTTACTGCAACCCTAGAAGAGACAACTTCTAGGTGTGAGATGATTCAGTCTCCATTCTTAGTAAAGCCTGGGTGTGTCTACTGTGATGATTGTAACTGGGTGGGTTTGTTTTGTTTTTGTGATATGGACATCTGTGTAGTTCTATTAATCTTACCAACTCATTTCACTTAGCAAACAGATTATAATAGCAGACAACCAAAGCAGAAGATCATTCTCTAAGACTTTTTGATACCAGGGACTGGCTTATTGCCTTCCTAAACTGTGCCAAGGAGATCTCAGGGACTGGTGCCAGTCCACGGACTGGTCATTGAGAAACATTGCTCTAAGCAACTACTTTGTTTCAGGCCAATGACATAGAGCCTAATCTGGTTTTACACCCGTATATCTGCATTGAAGTTATTTCTGCTTTACATCAGTGTAACTAAATCAGAATCAGGGCCATAGGAGTTGAAAGGCTGTGTATCTCATGAGCATATCCCCTGACTACTCAGACAATGTGCTTTTTATTTTACCATTTATTTATTTTATTTATCTATTTCCTTGCTGACACATTCTCTTCCTTTATTATTTTATTAATTATTTATTCATTTGAATTGAAGTATCACTCAGAAGCCACATTCCTATCAGCTCCATCGCACCAAGGGATGTACAACTGCATAGTAAGAGACAGACTGCAAAGTCTTTGGTGAGGGGACTAACTTACAAAAGAAAATTGTTGCATCCAGGAGCTGCAGTTAGGCTTTCACAAGTACTTGCTAATATTAGGGTGACCAGACAGCAAGTGTGAAAAATCGGGACAATGGGTGGGGAGTAATAGGCGCCTATATAAGAAAAAGACCCCAAAATCGGGACTGTCCCTATAAAATCGGGACATCTGGTCACCCTAGCTAATATATTTGTAGCACTGTGTCAGGCAAAAACGCAGACTCAACATTTACAAGGTGCTTAGTTGCTCCAGAGTTCATGCGACATCTGTTCTACCATGAAGTTCATAATGTTCTAGGTTCTGGTGATTAGAGCCATTATTGCATACTATTAGTCAGTTTTACCATTTTGTCATATTTTCTAAATGGATGGTAAAAATAACTAGTATATGTAGATATGAGTCAGACATGAAAACAAGGAACTAACTTTTTTTAAAATTCAGACCATCTAGAACCCAGCCCTAAAGCCTCCTAACACATCCTGTTATCTGATTTTCTAAATACTTTGGCTTACTAACAGCAATATTTAATTATTGTTTTCATGCAGAGTATAGTTCTCTTGTAACCTGTTTATTTTTTTCAGGGTTTGTGGATTTAACACTCCATGATCAGGTACATCTACTGGAATGTGCCTGGTTAGAGATACTGATGATTGGCTTAGTCTGGCGTTCAATGGAACATCCGGGAAAACTCTTATTTGCACCTAATCTATTACTGGACAGGTTAGTCCACTTATTATTTATTTTTGTTTGTTTATTTAAATGAAATGTATCTCTAGCACTTCTAGTCCTTTTTAGCCTGCAGCCATCCCACCTGATGCTGAGATCCCATCACATTTCATAAATTAAGCAGCACTGGCCTAGTTAGTATTGAAAGAGGTACCTCTAAAGAATGCCACTGAAGGTGTTGTTGGAAGTGGTGTTCGTGATTCAAGAAATGGCACTTTTAGTTGTGAGCGAATATGGTGTTAGAAGGTCCTCTCCTGTTGCAGGTGCTTACTTTCAAAGGAGACAGAAAACTAAGATACGTGCCATTTGTAGTCCTTAAAGAGTCCATTGCGCTTTTGGCAAGGGCAAGGGTAAGGATACGGAATCCAGTGTCCTGAAATTTTTGTTTATTATTTCTGCCTCCTTAAAAATTCTCCCCTGCAGTTTCAGCCAGGTTTATACTAGTGCTATGTGCAATTAAACAGCTGCCACTTGCCATTTTAGAGGAGACTAGTTTTCCACTGTAGAAGAAAACCATATACTAGACCTCACTCTGCTTTGTGATAGTCTGGTTATACCAAGCCACCCAAAAGCTGGCTTAATTGACCGCTTGAGGACTCATTCAGTGTAGGGGATCACGTGGGTGGTACAGCTGCTGCAGCATCTCTTATGTTATCTTCTTCTTTACCCCAGGTGTGGAAGGCATGTTACATAAGAGTACATGGGACTGGGGGTTCCTCCAGCCCAGCCAACTATGACTGCCAAATGTCTCCTTGGGCAGCAGAATAATTAAAACAGCTCACTGGATGGTCTGATTTGTTCCACGGGTCTGCGCTGTAAAAGTGGTTTAAAGCAGGCCCCACCCTGTCCCCCTCACACACCTTTAATCTCTTGTTCTGGGCTCATCTTGGCTGGACTGGAGGGTCCGATCCAGGAATGCTATAGAACAGATCAGTGCTCTGTCAAATCCAGTATCCTAAAACTTAGTGTCTCTTACTACATACTTCAAAGGGAGATGGAAAAAAACCAACTATCTAATTATACAATACGGTTCTATGAAAGTGCGGAATTTCTTGTTGATTTCAGCTGGTGTTGATTTCAGCTGGCATTAATTTCATGCACTGAAGCATGAGAATTGACATCTCTTAAAACATATCCTAGCTAATGTACTAGAAATTCAAGTGCTTTCCTTATATTTATGAAAACAATCATGTTTCAACCCCAAAGGAATTTCTGGAGAAAGATACAAAGAGCTGAAAAGTGAATGAGAAGAGAAACAGTCTCTCAAACTTATAATAGTTACCACAACTAACATTATAATATCCATGTCATGTTCTGGTGAGCAGTTCAGACCATTGAAAGGTTGTGTCACACCTTGCATTGTAAACCGAAGTGCCCCAAAATGCTTCTGCTAGTTTTGGCTCCCTGCCTGGGGTCACACACACAGCCAGCATGCGCTTCATGTTCTGTGTGCTATACAGTTCTGATTCAACTACTTAACTGCTGGCAGGCTGTTGGTTTTTATCACAGACACACTCTTGTCTCTACCCGACTTGGTTGATGTTAACAGGTGACCAACACTTTCCCAGACCTGCATGTTCTGCAATGTCCAGCCCTCTCCTGCAACATTCAGAGGAATAAAAAGATCTCTTTGCTCTTTTAAAGACAAAACCCAACAGCTTGCCACATTGACTGGAGTTAACATTCATTTTTACTTAAAGATAGTGCTGTTCATTGAGATTAATAGAAAAACAAATTGATGAACAACAAGAAAGAAGAATGTGAAGTGACCAAGTACAAGAGAGAAAGTAATGGTTGCAAGCAATGAAAAGTGAAAACATGCGTCTAAAACTTAATTTAACAAAACACAGGCTTTGTTCAAGATGGCTTTGTTCATAATGGACTTTCTCACCCATAGTGTTCCAGCAAGATGGTGGCTGATTTCCCCACCCTGGTCAGGATTTCCTCCAGAAGCCCCAAAGTGCTGGTTCCTTTTAGGGTGACTAGATGTCCCAATTTTATAGGGACAGTCCCGATTTTTGCATCTTTTTCTTATAGAGGCTCCTATTACCCCCACCCCATTCTGATTTTTCACATTTGCTGTCTGATCACCCTAGTTCCTTTGTCTTTTTAGGTGAAAGCGATCACTTGGTGTTTTCTGCCTCTTCCTTTTATAGTCCAGTGAACCTTTGAAATGGATTGTTTTAAAGGTTTATCCCTCAAAGTAAAGTTTATTCAATCTATAAGGAAGGTGACATGGGGTCTGGTGGTGAAGGAAACTCAATGCTGTTCCCCCTCTCCCCACTAATGTTTGCTAAAATGCAGATTGTTCTGTTTCCTGCATCTCCTCCCTCTGCTGTCTTGATAGTCCTGATTACTGCTTGTATGTAAACTGAGGTAAACCCACATTCCTTTGTTTAATACAGACCTGTTTACTAACTCCCCTTGACCTGCCTGGTGTTTAAATACACTTTAGTCATAATTCTGGAATAGATCCATAACTCTTAATAGACAAGATTATTAATGATCAGTGAGCTATTAGTTTTCAAATGATACTTCACAAGGAATACTTCGTACAGAGATATTAAAATACTGTGTAGGGTGTGAATACCTGGGTGCTGGATTGGGTCACTATCCACCAAAACTATTTAAAGAAAAGCTTGCTAATGTATTTTCCTCAATTTTCTGTGCTGATAAGTTCCACTGGCTTATTTCATAGCAAATGATTAGCTTCATCCAATTGTTGCATGCCTTTGGAGCAGACTTGCTCTGCAAAGTTTGATCCAACACGATTGGTGCAAGCCAGAGGATTAGCACTGAGCAATCTGCAAGAAACAAGGTTTTGTTTTTTGTACTTTTAAGCAACAGCTCAATATAAATGCTAATATATAACAGTATACTAACTACTCTGAAATAGAACAGGAAAAAGATATATTTATTGCCTCAGAAAAAGCCCTATTCTGCTTAAGTTTCCATTGAAGCACAAAGCAACAGAGGGTCCTGTGGCACCTTTAAGACTAACAGAAGTATTGGGAGCATAAGCGTAACCCACAAAAGCTTATGCTCCCAATACTTCTGTTAGTCTTAAAGGTGCCACAGGACCCTCTGTTGCTTTTTACAAATTCATACTAACACGGTTACCCCTCTGATACATTGAAGCACATCATATTTCTGTGTGCTTTGGCATTAGGAAATGTATAAAACAGTTTCTCTGTACAGAGCAGGAATTTCTCTGTTCATTTAAACTTAGATTTCCACCAGTGCTTATACTGGACAAAAAATCAAGAAAACAGAATAAAATTTTAAGTCTTTGCACAGTAGCAGTATAATTTATTACTTCAGGAAAGAAAATACAGAATATTATTGGAAAATACAACATAAAGTACATATCTACCTTCCAAGGACCAATCTGCTCTACGTTTGATATTTTTCTAAGAAAATTGCAGAGGAACATTTGCAAAATAGAGAGCAGAGCCAAAGTACTTCTTTAAAATAAAAGAATCCTTATTGAGGTTGCAGGAACAAACCATCCCAATGTGTAGAAAAAATAGTAAATATGGCAGGTGACCAGCTTGGCTTACCAGTGAAATCCTTGCTGATCTTAAACACACACAAAAAGAAGCTTACATGAAGTGGAAGATTAGACAAATGACCAGGGAGGAGTATAAAAATATTGTTCAGGCATGCAGGAGTGAAATCAGGAAGGCCAAATCACACTTCGAGTTGCAGCTAGCAAGAGATGTTAAGAGTAACAAGAAGGGTTTCTTCAGCTATGTTAACAAGAAGAAGAAAGTCAAGGAAAGTGTGGGCCCCTTACTGAATGAGGGAGGCAACCTAGTGACAAAGGATGTGGAAAAAGCGAATGTACTCAATGCTTTTTTTGCCTCTGTCTTTATGAACAAGGTCAGCTCCCAGACTGCTGCACTGGGCAGCACAGTATGCAGGGCCGGCTCCAGGCACCAGCTGAGCAACCTGGTGCTTGGGGCGGCAGATTGTTGGAGGCGGCATTCCGCCCAATCCTAGAGCGGCATGGCTGGTTTTTTTTTTGTTCTTGTTCCGCTCCAGCCGTCCTGTAGGGGGCGGCAGCGCAGAGAACCAGAGCACCCTGCAGGGCAGTTCTCTCCCTTCCCTCCCCGCCGACCGGAGCAGAGCCCTGGTGGCAGGAGGCGACGCAGCGGGAGGGGCTGCGTGGCAGCACCCCTGCTGTAGCCCTGGCTGCCCCCTTCTCTCTCTCTCCCGCCCGCTCCCTCCCCTTCCCCCCAGCTGGTCCCCTGCACCTGTGCTCCGGCCGCGCCGCAGGTATTTTTTTGTTGTTGTTGGTTTTTTTTTGTTTTGTTTTGTTTTTGTTTCTTTTGCTTGGGGTGGCCAAAAACCCAGAGCCGGCCCTGACAGTATGGGAAGAAGGTGACCAGCCCTCTGAGGAGAAAGAAGTGGTTCATCCAACTTTTCTAAATAGTCCCATGTCACAAGTCCATGGGGCTGGATGCACTGCATCCAAGGGTGCTAAAGGAGTTAGTGGATGTGATTGCAGAGCCATTGGCCATTATCTTTGAAAACACATGGTGATCCGGGGAGGTCCCGGATGACTGAAAAAAGGCTAATGTAGTGCCCATCTTTAAAAAAAGGGAAGAAGGAGGATTCGGGGAACTACAGTCAGCCTCACCTCAGTCCCTGGAAAAATCATGGAGCAGGTCCTCAAGGAATCAATTCTGAACCTCTTAGAGGAGAGGAAAGTGATCAGGAACAGTCAGCATGGATTCATCAAGGGCAAGTCATGCCTGACTAACCTAATTGCCTTCTATGATGAGATAACTGGCTCTGTGGATGAGGGGAAAGCAGTGGACGTGTTATTCCTTGACTTTAGTAAAGCTTTTGATACGGTCTCCCACAGTATTCTTGCCGGCAAGTTGAAGAAGTATGGGCTGGATGAATGGACTATAAGGTGGATAGAAAGCTGGCTACATCGTCGGGCTCAACAGGTAGTGATCAATGGCTCCATGTCTAGTTGGCAGCCA